GAAGTACGGAGGTGAGGGCTGCGAAGAGGGGTTGTGCAGAGGAGAAAGCTGTGGAGGGGAGGGTGCAGAAGTGAATTGTATAGTGGGGATGCAGAGGTGAGGAAGAGGGATGAAGAGGTCACAATGAAGAAGGGGCCGTGTGCGCAAAGGTGAGAGCTGTGGCTGGAGATGCAGAAGTGAGATGTAGTTGGAGGATGTAGAAGTAAGCTATGGAAGAGAACTGAAGAGGTTGGCTAATGACAGGTGTTGCAAAGATAAGCTACAACCGGGGTGGGAAAGTGCAGAGGTGTGCTGTGGGCAGGGGTTGCAGAGGTGAGCTGTTGACAGAAAGTGCAGAGGTGAGCTGTGGACAGGATTAGCTATGGGCAGTGGTGTAGACAAGAGCTGTGAAATGGGGTGCAGAAATGAGATGTGGATAGGGGGGTGCAGAGGTTATTTGTAGATAGAGGGTGCAGAGGTTAGCTATAGATAGAGGTGAGTTCTGCACAAGGGGTGTAGAGGTGAGCAGTGGATAGAAAGAATAGCTGTAAATACCTCTTAGCAAGAAACCTATGGAATAAGAGGGCACAGAGTGACATGGGTGCCAGGAGTCCAGGTCAAACTAGAGGGTAGCAGAGACAAGCCATGCTAAGAAACTAGCTGCGGTCAAACCAGGAATCAGCAAAGGAAAGCTGAGGTTTGTGTGAAAATTTCAATGTCTACAAACTATGGGATATATACTGGAATTTTAATTAATTATTTTTTTTAAATACTATTAATGGCAGTGGTCAGCATCTTATAATGGGACTGCAACACTGCAGCATTTAATATGACACTAACTGATGCTGGGGGGAACTAACTTACTGAAACTGACATCACTAGTGCCATTATTACAGTAATCAGTGCTAATAATATGCACTGTACTAATGACACTGGGCAGGAAGGGGTTAACATCTAGGGCAATCAATGGGTTAAATGTATTCCTAACTGTATTGGTAAAAATATATTTGTATTGTGTGCACTGTGTGCTGCTTTTACTGTTGATCTAGTTGTTTTTCCCTGAAAAATCAACTAGATGGCCTGTCACTGAACACAGCACTGTGCTGTTTACACTGGAAGAGCTGTGTTTTACCAACCGCACCTGGTGATTGGCATGTGCTGTGATGAATCAAAGCACAGTGGGCACGCACGCAGGCGCCCCCTACCTGGAAAAGCAGAATCACGTATATACTCTATATATAATATATATATATATATATATATATATATATATATATACTGTATCACATACACATGGTTCGGCCCTGTCCCCTGTTCTCTCCTCATGGGCTCACTGGCTGTGATTGACAAAGCAGAAGCCAATGGCTCTCACTACTGTGTAAGCCAATGAGGACAGAGAGATCCTGGAGAGCAGTGGCTCTCGTGCACATCGCTGGATTGAGATGGGGTTCAGGTAAGTATTGAGGGGGCTGAGGAGGGAGCGGTACCCAGAAAGTTTTTACCTTAACGCATACGTTTTCAAGGAGATAGGATTTCAATACATTAGAACAAAAAAGAAACAAGAAAAGAGGAGGGGGTGGGACTAGTCATGCCAATTGCATTTTTCTTAACTCAATGCATTTATCATGCTCTGCAGTGCTTTACAGCATGTCACAAAATTTTGCACTGCACACTAATGCTATGTGTCCTTTTTTTTTTTTTTTTTTTTTTTTTTAGGAGCAGCGTACTTGTGTGAATTGAAGCCAAAGGACGCTGTTCACCTTACTAATGCTAATCCTTTAAAGGAACCCTAAATTACTGTGAATATATATTGTATATGTATGTGTTGTATATATCAGAGTTACACATTTTGAGCTACCTTGTAGATCTCTTGGCTCCTTTTGACATGATTACTACCCTAAACTGCTTTGCTAAAAAAACAAAAAAACGAACAAACAAAAAAAACTGTTTAAAGAGCTCAATAGCTCAAACTAAAACTACACACACAACTGGTTCATCCTCCACCCACTCTGTAAGACTCCCTACAAGTGTCAGAGAAATTGTTTTTTTTTTAAGCAAATCGCTTCTGCTGGGCTTTCTGTTTTAAATTCCACAGTGCTCTGTAAAGGCAATGTTATGGGTGAATTCTGTATTTTGTTGTTTGTAAAATATATATTTTTTGGTAAAAACGTATAACATGTAAGTTTAAAAATGTCATAAAAAAGAAAAGAAAATTGACCTAAAATCATTAAAATTTCCCTTTAATGTTTCCCTTAGTCTTGTCTTTTCATCCTTCTTACAGCAATGAAAAATGATTATCCTTTTTATATGAAACAAGAAAAAACTTTCATCTCACACTTAATATTTGAAATTACATTATAATTTTGCCTATTCCTTGATACTTGCTAATTTGAATGATTAACTGAAGAACAGTTACATTTTACTTTTGAGCATTACTGTCATTGTGGAATTAATATGTGTGAGGCTCCTAATGACAAGTGCAAAGAACTTGTAAAAGACTGTAAAAAAAAACCTCCCTTCAGCAAGATAAGCTAGAAAAAGAGCTACATACAGAAGCTAGACATCTTCATATTGAAATGGCTCAGTGGTTTCCATTTCCAATCAACTGTCATTGCTGTAAACCTGTGACTGTGATATGCATGCTAATTTTAAATAATTAATTTGTGGTAACAATATGCCATCCAAATAATGTAATGGTATTCTTCTACTAGGTACTACTAGAGTCACTACACTGACAAGGATTTCTAATTGGAAACCCCTATAAGCTTTTGGTCCACTATACAGAAAGAGAAAGAAGTCTAAGTCCCCGTTTACACTGCATGCGAATTAGAAATTGATTTCAAAGTTGCATGTCAATGCGACTTCGGGTGCGACTTGCAGACATCTGTGCGACTTCATGCAAAGATGTGTATGCAAGTCACACCAGAAATTGGCAAAAGTCATGTAGAAACTATTTTTCATAGTCAAAGTTGCACTGATTAGAACAGTTCTATTGCCGAACATTGGATGTGATTTGCCATTTGAATGGTCAAATCGCATCATGCCAAGTTGCATCAGTGTGAACCAGGGCTTACTCTCATAGCAACTAGGTTCTATTGGACCAGGATTCACTTGCAGCCCCACCTGCTGGCCTAGACTATTATGACATTTTTTTAGCTATAGGAAAGATTTAGAAACATGTAGGAAACAGAACCAGGCTTTACATAGACTGCTTATGAGAAGGCTTTCAGCACCGCAGGTGTGCTCCTAATGAGTACAATTTCTATTTGCTTATTTAGAAGACTAGATTAACTTTTGCTAATCTAGTACTAACCACTCCAGCCCAGCTAATCCAAGCTGTTCTACTTCCCCCCATAGCAGCAGATACCTAATTAGGTCCACTGCAGAGGTGGAGACTTTCCTGGTGCTTACCTCCTATTGCTTAATATGCCGGGGTGCTTGAATGGGGCAGTAATGCAAGACTGGAGATCCTAAGTATATGGCTCTATTCACATTAATATGGCCTCAATATGCAGAAGTGGCCAGTGCTAAAAAGGATTGCAGTGGCAAAGTTGAAAACACAAGACCAGGCCATGGCTCTGCAGCAATGGCAAATAAGCAGCAGAGATTGGAGGGTGGTTATTGTAGTTTAGCGGAGGAGAGGTGTGGGGATTAGTGTTTGATTACTAAAGCTTAACATGTCCTTAATTTATTGTAATTTTGAACATTAAAAAAATTATACTGTACTATCTATAGTTGTTTCGGGTCAATTATATTTATATTTTTGTTGTTTAATATATATGTTTATAAATTAAGTTTTATTACCTGATAAAATATTGCCAGAGCATGTTGGGTTATCTAAGGACATAGCAGAGTAATAGTATTACCCTTTCAGATACAGTATTTCTTAGTGACACCTCAGATTGAGCCATCCAATAAATTAGGAATTGCTTCTCTCACTTATTTAGTTGTGTAGTTTCAGGTTGAGCTACTGATCTCTGTAAACAGGCTTTTTATAACACATGGTAAATAGACAGAGAAAAACATGGAAATGATATGCGAGTTTCACCTTCCGGTTGGATAAAAGACAGCATAATATACTATACCTATGCAGAATATTTCGTATGTATCTGATTAAAAACAATGTCTAAGTGTTTTTATTTTAGTCTTGACCATATTAAAAAAAATATGTAGAAAAGCACTCCACTGATGGTTTTCTGTGCAGCTTTTAAATGTCAATAAGTAAGGAAAACAACACCAAAGGCAAATCTATAGTAGTTGTGGGTCAATTATATTTGTTTTTCTATTGTTAGGCGTATATGATTATAAATTATGTTTTACAACGTAACAAAGGATTGCCAGAGCATGGGGGGTTATCTAAAGAGATAGCATAGTAGTACTACTACCCTTTCTGACACAATATCTCTGAGTGACACGTTAGATGGAGCTGTCCAATAAATGAGGAAATGCTCCTCTTATTTAGTTGTATTTGTAAGTTTCAGTTTGAGATTTTCAGCTTGATCTCTGTAAAAAGACTTTATAATGCACGGAAAAGTGTCAGAGAAAAAACATAGAAATTATATGAGATGAGCACTTCACCTGATGTTTAGATAAAGACAGTATAATATGATGTATATATTAAATAGTTCATATTTATCTGATTAAAATTAATTTTAAAAAGTCTTTATTTGTAGTCGTGAGCATAATTAATATTTTTTAGAAAACCTTTAGAAAACAATCCATTTGCAGGTAAGAGATGTCATTCAGTAAAGAAAACAAGCCAAATCTATGGTGGTTCTGGTTCAATGTTATTTATCATTTTGTTGCTACATGCATATGTTTAAAAATTAAGCTGTATTACTTGACAACGGACTGCTGGAGCATGATGGGTTATCTAAGGTGCTAGCACAGTGGTTGTATTACCCTTTCAGACACAATGGGGGAAACTAAAACTAAAACTGGTGCACACAGAATCTGGTGCGGTGTCCGGAGTCGGATTGAGGTGTCCGTTGGTGAGGTGTCCGGTCGGTGGTCGCCTCTGAGCTAATTAATTTGCAGAGCCCACCCTTGAAGTTAGCTGCAATATCCCACAGGACCCAGAAGAGGGAGTTTCCATCTCAGGCTGCAAACACCCATCCATCCTTAAAGGGGACCTCTGGCAGGAATAGATCCTTGTATATCCAAGAGACATCCGCTGGGCTGTACACCATCCAGAGGGAGGAGAATCTGTACCCGGCTTACCTCATCCATCCTTAAAGGGGACCTCCAGCTATACATATTACATGCGTATTTAAAATACGCATCTGGTGAGTGCGTATTTTTACCACAACTTTGGGCACATCACTGAATACTGAAGTAATCAACAGTTGTGAGTGGCACCTTAGCACAAATTGTCACTTTATGAACATTTGATACCATTTATCCTTATTTCATGATTTATTTATTTATACCTTTTTTATTGGACTGCATTTGATTTATTGTAGATTTTATCGCTGCACCTTTCAGTTCTTATGCACAGTAGCCAGTCAGCTTCTAACTTCAGCTTGTTCAATTAAGGTTTGGCAATAAAACCTGGAAACTGATTGGTTATTATATGCACAGCTGCACCAGATTCTGCATGCACCAGTTTTAGTAAATCTTCCCCAATGTCTCTCAGTGACACCTCAAATGGAGCCATCCAATAAATCACTCTTCTCACTTATTTAACTGTGTAAGTTTCAGAATGAGCTACTGATCTCTGTAAACAGGCTTTGTATACCACGCAGAAAAGAGACAGTGAAAAACATAAAAAGATATAAGATCTTCACCTAGGTTTGATAAAAGACAATATAATAAGCTGTACATATGCAATATTTCATATTTATCTGATTCAAATATAATTTTGTTTTACTTTTGTTAACTTTTTACAATTTTCTTATAGAAACAGGATGAAAAAAAGTCCAAAGGGTCCATCAAGTGTCTTTTTTATATTCTTGACCATAATAAATCAAATATGTAGAAAATGACTCAACAGAATGATCCCTTTGCAAGTTTGAGATTTCATTCGGTAAAGAAAACAGCACCCAAGGCAACTTCAGTAAAATAAAAGCGGTGGCTACAGGTTATTTTTCCTTGAACATCATCCATATCATCATTGCTTTTTCATTATCTTTTGAGCTGCAGGCATGGTTTTTGTCAATAAACGTTACTGAGATGCTATGGTGCAGAGATAAGGTAGGAGTCAGTTATACACTAATATCATTGCAAATCGCATATGACTAAATCTACATATATATGATGTGAGATGTATGGCCGCTAATGTTTTTCAATCTTATTGTACTTTATAAAAAAGTAAATTTTTACCAAGTGCCACTGCTGTGGGTCACTTCACGATACACATGTACATTTATTGCTGTTAGTGCCTATTTCTACATAAAAGCTTTTTCCAACAACTTAGATTTTTTTAATAACTGTATGTGCTTACTGAGATATACTGTATGTTGAATGTGAGTTATACATTCCTTAAAGATTGTATTGTGTGTGTACATTTACATTAGCAAGCAGATGGCCGTCCTGAACCTGTCATTAGCTGGCAACCCTGTGCTTTACAGCATCACTTTTTTCATTACCTTTGTCCAGGTTTGTATGAGGTAGCTGTCTCCTTGGCTTACAGATATATTCCTAAGTTTTAATGATGATAGGACCACTATTTCTGAGTAGCTTCCAGGCAGAACAGCAGTTTCCCAGCATGCAGTTTGCAAGCTCCCAATTGAATGATCACATGCGGAGAAATGTTCTTGTTCTTCCTGCTGAACAGTCACTAATTTGTATAATGCCACCAGCATTCCTGAGATCATGGGAAAAGAGAACCTTCAAGTAACTGATAAAATACACAAATGTTTCTTACCAAAGCTGACACGTGAGTGTGTAAGCTCTTGGGGGCAGGCGGGTTACATTTCCTCCATGTTTCCCTCCTTGATGGGTGCCAAGAGTGGGTCATATGAGAGACCTCCCCCGGGGATGTGTTCTTCTGTGCTAGGCTAGGCACCTTGAATAGGGCCACTGCCTTGCACATGGGGTACCTTTACTTGAACAGATGACTGAACTTTAGTTAATTCCCTTAATGTTGCTATACACCACCGCGGGCACTGCATTTACGAGCTACATGCAGAGCCAATGCTCTGTCCACCTGTTCAGTGTATCTACGCTACCTCACACCCAGTAACAGAATGGGTTTCCACCAAGTGCCTAATCCAGACTCCATACACGTGCTTCAATAACTCTTCCTCTTCTGTACCTGTGCACAGACCGAGGACCACCGTGGTGCAGATCTGCTCCCATTGCTATAGAAGATGGACCGCTCACAGAGAGCGTGCCAACAACAACTCCCTCCTGCAAGAGGCTATCCCAACTATCAAAGACACACACTTTTGACTGACTGTGAGTAAAACCTTTGTTACCCTTGGTAAGCAGGCTGGTCTGAGCCTGAAAGGAAAACAGGCTGGTCAAAGACTGTTGATGACATGGGCTTAACAGAGACTCGATGAGATGCAGACTGAGGCTGGTAGTTACACAGATTGGTCAGAGGCTGATGCAGTAACATAGTCTAAAAGCAAGAACAAAGTAAAAATAGCTGGTGACTGAGGCTAGAGAGGGCATTGACTGGATAGTGTGGAACATTTGCCTCTTTTTTGGTTTGGCTATTAGTAATTGCTGGGAATTAATCAGGCTCTTTTGTTGGTGGGAGAATTAAAAGAGCAGTCGGAAGCTAAGAGTTCATGGTAGACAGTGTGTGAGGATTTGCCATGAGCTGTAGAAACATGGCAAGATCTAGGGGGGGCTGGGGCTGGCTATCCACCCCCCCAGATTTTAGTTGTGCCCCCTCAAAGCCAATCCTAACCTTCCACTATATTACCCTAACCTGACACTATGTCGCCCTAAATTGACACAATACCACCCTAATATGATACTTTACTGTCTTAGCTTGATAATATACTGATCTCATTTATACATTGTGTTGGGAGGAGGAGCTCTGCTGCCTATGCCAAGGCTGTGGGCAGTGCAGGGATGGGAGAAGGAGCTGTGCCCCTGTTTTCTGCCCTGCCAGCAGTGACTTGTGTAATCTGCCCTGCTGACCTCCCAATTTCTGCCCCCCCCCCGATGGGGATTAGACAGACTAGTCCCAGTCCTGTGTAGAAAAAAACCTCAGGTAGCTAGTTACAGGGGTTGTACAACTAATGGGAACAGGGGCAGAAGGCTTTGGAGTAAGGTAATGATATTGTTGGAAGAAAGGTGTATTGAGTTGCAGCTGTGGCTGCTATTGGTAATATTTCAAAAGGCATCTAGGGGTGGGAATGCATTGGTGTAACTTAGCTGTGGCTGATAATACGAGTCTGACCAGGTTTGGAATCGAGTTTGAATAAAACTTCTAAATCTGATAAATTAGTGATCAAAAACCACTGATCGCACAGTTCTTGGTCTTATTTAAGCAGAGAGCCGGTGGCTGTCAGTCACTTGCTCTCTGCTCACTGGAGGCGGCGGGAGCGGTTGGCTCAGACTCTCAGTGGCTCATTGAGAGGCTGAACCAGCTGCCTGTCCAGGTATCTGGTCTGAAACAGACAATAAAGTCAGGATCTCTTCAAAGTCTTGACTGGCTCTGTGATGTCAGCTGACATCAGGCTTTACCCTGTTGTTGGCTTAAAACACATCACAAAAGTACAGAATGAAGTGCGCTCCTGTGATCCACTAGACTAGAAAATGTATAATGGTACGACAGTTCAGCAGAGCCTCTTGGAAATATAGAGAATAGTGTTCATAGAAACTGGTTTTGTCATCTTCCACCAAACAGAAACACTACCGGGGACACACTAAAGGGAAGGGATATATGTCAATCATCAATCGGTGCCTGATCCCCCACATCAACTAAGGAATGAGCCAAACAAATTTATTCCTGCACCAGCTCCCTTGTTTTGGCCTGAAATAGTTAGTGGAAATATTTTCTTTCTTCCTTCGCTAGCAACACAACATATGGTATATGCCATTTTCTAGATTCATCTTGATACAGTTCCTAAAACATGACTAGGGTATAAAAGAAGTTTTGGGCCCTAGACTGCCTGGCCACCCTTCTATCAAACCATGCCACCAAATAAAGCACACTGACACCAACTGGGGTTTTAATGGCCACAGCAGTCATTTTTATTTAACAAGTTATAAAAAAACAAAATAAAAAACAAATATACATAATATATAACCAACAACAGACAGAATGTATGCTGGATTCTCAAGGTCGTTGTAGGAAACTAAACTTATACATGTTTAAGTAGATCTCCAGCTGCACCTCACCGATTTGGAGAGTCAGGTATTCAGGTACTGCCATAAAGGTACCAAATTAGGGTAAGACTGCACCACCTGCAAGAGGAATAAAATTAGAACAAAGGAAAAGTAGGGGAGGAGGGTGGGTAAGATTCCCTGACTTCTGCCATCCTTCAACTAAACTCTCCTGGGACTGTCATGCCTACAACCCCCTGCAGACCCCACCTGTCCTGCCTAGCCTCACCAATCAGGTCAGTACCCCACCTCCCTGCATCCTTTAAACTTCATAAAACTCCTCCCGTGTCTGCTACTTCCCTTTTAGCCCAGTCAAGTCATTCTTCCATCACTTTTTTCAAGTATTTTCCTCTGGGCCTCACTATACAAGTAGAATACAAGCAAACATCGAAGATTCCCTATGTAGCCAACCTGGTCTTTCAATATCAGTATTATGTCAGGATGCCTCATTCTAAATGGCACCCTGATGCACCTTCCCAAGACATCTGGGTTGCAGTTCACCACAACGCATGGTAATGTACTACCATATGTTGTGGTGCTCTATTTTTATGAAAATTGTGCATCCACCTATTCTTGTACATTCTGGTGCCATTTATATAAATGGGTGTCTTGACATAAAATGGGTTAAAGCACATGTTAATGCACTGCACAGATGTAAATGGGCCCTAGTGGATGCAAACATTGCAGCTTTTCTTATTACAATGCTGATACTGTTTCATTGGTAGAAGGCTGGCCTTCCCATTAAAAAATTAGTTTTTTTAAAAAAAACATATTGAAAAAAGATGCATTTTCTTATTATATTCACATTATGAATCTGGGGAAAAAAATTGCTAAAATTCTTTCCATGTACAAAGTTTATATTGCGGGAACTGTTTTTTATTGAACATCACTGCAACTAGAAAAGGTCTTCTATTGTGTCTATGTGTACTTTGCAACAGGGGAAAGCAAATGTAATTACTTTTTCTTGTGCTTTATGAAAATTGTCAGCAAGAAATGACCTTGTCCGTTGATCCTCTATGACATTTGCTGCTTTG